CGAAATGTGTCAAATTGTTGTTTTTTCGTCGTCATATCAGGACTTATCAGGATAGCAGCAGCATAGCGTGGCGCACAGTAACAATCAGCGAAACATAACAAATGCCTGAGATGGCGCGGGGGGCCTCTCGGAGAGCAACTGGCATCTCAGCGACCCGAAACAGCCCCACAAGCAAGCAGAAGCACACGCACTGGTAGCATTTCAGCTTGCGGCGTGCTCGCCCACAGGGCCGCTTCACTGCTTTCTGCTCTCGGCGTTCACACTAATCGTCGAGTCCGGTAGCACTTGCTGCTTGATCACATAGCGACGCTTGCCGGTGCTGAAATCGGATCAAGTGATTACGGGAACTTACGCCACCCAGTGCGCACGTGCAAATGAAGCACGCAGAACGACGGAATCTCTTTTGGCCGTGGGACGACGAGGCAGGGACATGTCTGGTTATTCTTGACGTTACTGTCAAGCAAAAGGACAGCTATGCTATCAAAACAATGCATTCTGATCAATAAATGATGCGAGGCTTCGGAGAGGAGCACCCTTGGTGGCAAGGGCAAGTGGCTAATACGTCTGGTGACAAAGACTCAATGGGTGCGACCTTCCTTGGGTAAAACATGAACACACAAAGTAACGCAAATGAATTGAAAAACCAAGTGCGTGAATTCACGCGGAAGAATCCGCAAATCACCTTGTATCGGTGTCGCTTCCTGATCGGTCGGTCTGAGTCTGCAGGCGTCGTGATGGCGACACGGATATGCGAAAACGGCGCTGCTGCTGTTGATGCTGCTGCAGGGATATTGAAGCGCCCTGGAACCAGTTAGCATACGTCGCAAGGCGGTGAAAAGTCTCGGTCAGGCAAACAGTGTCATACTTAGCAAAACTAGTGTCAAGGAATTCTCAGTTCCTACCTGCAGCCCTAACTCAACTACCGGCTCCCCGTAATTAAGCCTGGAATTAAGGATCGGCTGCACTGGAATCCCATGCGCCTAATTTCAAAATCTGGCCGAAATATAAGAGAAAAAAAAAAGACAATCAAAAGTTATAAAAACCGCTTACAGTACTTCCTTAAAAATAAGGCTGTGCAACTTTATTTCATTTTTCAGCGATCTTAGATGAATTGTCTCTGGCACTCATATATTCGGACGGCCATATGGCCCAGAATAACGACATACTTCACTAGCATTTGATCCGGGGGCAGTTTTCATGGGGCGCTGATAATCGACTGAAGTCTTCCTGGACGGACGTGCGGACTCTAGAATGGTCGGCTGTTGCTGCTGCTGCTGCTGCTGC